TTATGGAAAACTTAAATTATAGTTTAGGATTTTTTACTTGGTTCACAACCCGATGGGAGATTCACATTGACATCCAGAAAGTGGTTGTGACTTGTAATTATTCGAAAACTATTGATTTATGTCACAATATTTTGAAAATATTAGACATATATTTTTGGACTCTATGAGCTAAAACGTCCATAAACAAGGGGTAAATGATACGTCACAAAAAAATACTTTAATCAAGCACTAATCTCTAAGGCATATTTGAGCTGAAAGCTTTCAAAATTAAATTTGGGACCATCTGAATTCTAATTTCAGCGAACTTACGGTCAAAATGAACATCTTGATAACGTGAATCCAATGACACCAAAATTGGTCCAACCGAGCCCAAATGAGCCCAAATCAAGGGACTAAAGTTTATTTAGAAGCTTCAAAGAATTAATTGTGTAGTCAAATAATCTTCAAATATGGCATACTTATAGTTAACTCAAGCGGCTCGACATGACAAATCCAACGAGCCAAAGATCACTTAATTCTGACATCATTAAGGCACTTAAATGCTTGACGAAAACTCCATGATAGAAGGAATCAATACTAACCGTTTGATGGAGCTCTCTAACTTTGCCCTAGAATTTTTCTATTTTTACGGAGCATGCCAGTCCCAAAACTTATAAATAGGCCCTTATTCTTCACATGATGAAAGGGAGAGGAGGGAAAGCTCTCTAGCATTTTTTATCTATCGCACGTCGCCGACAACCATCAACTATTACAGCTGACAACCACTGTCGCCATTGAGGATCAGCATAAAAAATTTATACCATCTCTAGAGCATTAACTAGATTTAACCCAGATGTGGGGTATGAACATCCATCTATAGGCATCTATAATTCCTATTGGGAGAATCAAACCCTGCTGTTGGGTATAAAAGTCTATCTATGAACATCTATAATCTATCTTGGAAAAATTAAACTATGTTGTTAGATATTAACTGTCATATTTGATTTTCTATACTCTCCTTTTTCTTCAACAACGAAGAAAGTATAATTTTTATATCACTTACTACATAGTAAATTTTGAAACTAGGTTAGGCTCTATGATTTTTTTTCTTGTTTGGATTTTCCACGTAAAAAATTATTTGATCTTACTACTTTTTAATCTATAAGTATTAAATCTTTGTACAACGTTGAGACGTAAAACATAAACTCTACCGACTCAAATTTTTTATCATGCAACAATCTCATCATTTGTAAATTTACATTTTTTTTTCTCTAAAAAAAATTATAGTTACTTAAAAATTTCTCTTTTTGTTCCTTGTGTTCTTTTCTCCTGCAAAGGAAGAACTAAACAAGAACAAAGTTGACAATCCCATTAAAGCTTCGTTAGTGATATATTTTTTTCACTGTTTTTTGAATTTGTATTTTTGTATAATAATTTATAATTAAAAAAATTCTATTCTAAAAAAATATTTTAAATAATAAGAAAGCTGACTTAAACAAAGCTTAAGTTTGTGGGCAATCTCATTACAACCATTACCAGTCACAAAGTCTTCTTCAAAGACAGCTTTAAAAAAAATTCTAATTTCTCACATAAATATTTATTGAAGTGGACCAGGTAAAATTCTTTTTTAGTAAAAATTGATGACTTTTTGTTAAATTTGATTGGTTCATGAAAGTTTTTTCGTTACTTTTTTTTACCGACTTTTTCGAAAAATTATTAGGTGCGGAGTGTGCATCGTCCGCACAAACATGGGTACCTAGCGGTACCCAGTGGTACCCAGGGGCACCGAGTGCCGGTACCTAGCATGGAATAAAGCTTGTGCGGACGGTTCTCTCTGTTCGCACTATGCACCTAATAATCTCTCGACTTTTTCAACCATAGAATGCCATTGAATGGGTTTTCAAGTTTCTTCTATTTTTTTTTTAGAGATTTCTTTAGATTTTAATATAATTCTTAAGCAAATTGATTTATAAAGAAAATGCGAATAATTGTATTTTTTCATGAACAATTCCCAATTTTATTTTAGTGAAAAATATTTTACCACTTTTATTTTAGTGGCAAATATTAAAAATTCTACTTTTCATAAGAAATAAAAATTTAATTTCTCATTGAATAAATAAAAAATAAAAATATTTCTCACTCAGTCGACCCTCAATCAAATAAGCAGGTGAAATTAATTTTCTTTTCACTTATATTTGGGTGATTAACATTTATATTGTCGAATTCTTATCTAAATATTTATATTTATTTATATAATATTTTAATATTATAATCATATGAAAAATATATGCATTGAAAAACTATATTTTATTTTTAAAAATTAATATATATAATATTTTTAATCTAATGTAAAATTATAGATGTAATATAAATATAAAAAATTTATATGTTAAATATATAAATATATAAAAATTATGTGATATATATGTAAATTTCCCTTATTTATTTTGTCCCTAACTAGACCTTAATGAGTTGAGCTTAGGAGAAAATTTTGATCTCTCGCTCTATTGTATGTAGAAAAGAAATTTGTCAAAATAGAATAAGAGTCGATCCTTCAAACACTATGCTTACATTAATTTATTTTCAATAAATGAACAGCAAAAATAATTATTTACTTACAACAAAAAACCTTCATTTAAATTAAATAATGGGCACAAAACTATATATGTACAAATTTGAACAAATGGCAAAATTTCAAAGGAAAAAAGGGACTCCACTGTTTGATTGTTTGGGGATTCTATTAATATGATAAGTTATTTAATCAAGAGTCATCAAGAAATGTGGTTTAAGGCTTTAAGCATCATAACTCATATGTCACCAAAAATCACTTGATCAGGCATGAATCTCGAAGTATATATAACTTGGAAACTTCTGAAAATTAAATTTGGGACCATCCAAACTTCGATTTTAGTAAACTTAGTCAATTTGAATGTCTCAAGGAGACGAAAAAAAATTTGGTCTAATCCGAGCTCAAATGGGCACAAACCAAGGGATTGAAGCATATTTGGAAGCTCCAAAATATTAATTGGATAGCAAATGATCTCCAAATGTAACATTCTTATAATCTAATCAAGTGGTTCGATGAGATGAATCCAACGAGCCCAAGATCGCTTAATTCTGGAATCATTAAGGCACTTAAATGGTGAACAAATGCTCCATAATTAAGGGAATCAATATAGATTGTCCGATGGAGCTCTCCAAATTTAGCCTGAATCTTATCTTTATTTATAGGACATGTCATTCTCAAAATTTATAAATAGACCTCATTTTCCCACATAGAGGGTCTTCGACTTTTGGAGGCTTAGACCATGGACTAGAGACTCAAGAGAGTTTTGAGGCTTGAATCATCCCAAAGCTTCACCCTGGTACCACCACTGATGAACCCTCGCCACCATGCCACTAATGCTTGATGCCTACTTAACCATCGCAATAAGACCTTTGTTGCGGTAGCTATCATACTCAGAGGCCTATTAGTTAGAAATCTTCACAGAAATACGGCTCAGTGTTTAGAGCTTAAATGGTCTTCGTACCGACCACCTTCCCCCCGCCGCAGCCCCGAGATGACTACTGGACTATACAGTGTGTATACTATCTTCGCGTCGAGCACCGATCGGCCTCCCCCCCCCCGGATCTAACGATCCCTCTAACCACCTTCACTAGTCAACTACAATCCCTTCGACCATTGACACCCGCCGACTAACTATCCCCATAACTATGGAACCTCCGACCACCGTCGCCCTCCAACTATGTGTTTTGGATTTTTGTATAAAACTAGGATGCTATATCCTACCTCTCTACCACCGTGAATGTTCTAGCACGCAATTTAATGAATTTAAAAATATTCATAAATCATACTTAATTTTTATTGAGAATACTAAGTAAAAATAGGGCAATGAAGTAAAGAAAGAGGAAGGAAGCGAGAAATTCCGAGCTTTTTGCAATTATACTTTGAGTGTATAAAGTTGTATAAACTAAGCTTATCACTTGATCCCCTATTTATAAATTTAGTCTTGAACTTTATAGAATTTGTTGTGCATATGTTTATATAATAGTAAGAAAAAAAATATTTGAGTCATGTAGCTTAATTTCTCATATGAAGGAAGTCATCCACTTGACTAAGCTTTAGGGCCAATTTGATAGGTCATATTTGCCTGATGAATTCATTTGTTAACTTAGTGAATTTCTTTTGAGTTGAGATTGAGACAGTTTAACTTGAACCGAGCTGACTTAACTTGAACCCAGTTTTCTAAGTAATAAGTTGTATACATTCAATGATAATAGATCTAATAGTTCGATTCCATCAATTAGAGGACTTAATAAGTGTCACATATCTTTCAAATATGATTTATGTAAGTTTTGTTACTCACCATTTAGATTTTATTGTACTACATAGATAGGTACCTATAACTAAGTTTTTAATCAATCTTTTTAATTTATAAATATATTATAAGGCTTAAAATATTATTTTTAGCTTCAATTTTTATGGTAAAAAAATTACTTTAGAATATTTTGAGGATGATTTAGTCTAAATGGCTTTCAAATCTTAAATTTATTTTTAAATCAAAGCAATGTATAGATAATCAATCAAGTCTTGCTCTTAAAGTAATTTTTTTTTTATTTCATCATTATAAAAATAGAATTTATTAAATATATTACAACTAAAAATTTATTAACAATAAAAAGATTAAATATTTTAATTTGATAATTATTTTTAATCTTATAAATATAATAATTATAAATTTTAAAATATATTATATGTTGATTCTTTTTTGAAAAAAAAGGAAATATATAAAAATTAATTAATTTTTTAAAGTAATTGTATATATTTGGTAGTTCATGAAAAAAAGTTTATAAAAAGAAATCTCAAAATTATTAATTTTTTTAATTTAAATTTAAAAATTATTTATTTTTATAAATTATAAATCTCAAAATAAATTTAATGTCCACGCCAATCAAATGAGTGGATGACCGTTGAAATAGTTGAGGTTAACGGACTATTATTTAAGATGCCTATTGCCACTCTTTGCTCATCTCCCTGGATTTCTCTCTTGATTTGTCGTTTTGGAATTTCATCGAACAATTAAGGTGAAAGAGGAAGATGGTTAGGATAGCGTTGGGGAGAGAGGCGGAGGAGGAGACGCCGGCGACGCCCACTGTGTGGTACTCCCCGCTGTCACCGCCGGAGGCCATCGATGGAGACCGGGCCCCCGTGCGTGTCTACGCCGATGGCATTTTCGACCTTTTCCATTTCGGCCATGCCCGTGCCCTGGAGCAGGCCAAGAAATTGTACTCTCTCTCTCTCTCTCTCTCTCTCTCTCTCTCTCTCTCTCTCTCTCTCTCTCCTTCTCTCCTCCATTGATTATTGACTTTATTATTATTCTGTATCTTTAAGCAGTTTATTTTTGTGTCTTTTAATGCCGTTTCTCCAAAAATCTCATTTTTCACTTCAAAATGCCGTGAAACTAAGAAATGCCGTGATTCATCTCCAATCAAACTCCATTTTGCCCCCTTTTGCGAAGTTAATGTTCGTTCTCTTCTTTTGCGCATTTATTCCGCAAGTTCGGTACAGACAGACAAATAGCGAAGATGAACAGTGCAACGCTAATATTGGTGTTCCACTGTTTACCCGTAACCAAATAGCGGAAGTTTTACCGTTTGGCTGGAGCAAGCATTTGAAGTTCGGTTGAATATGCCCTAGAGAGGTGGTTGATAGCTAAGTTAAACGGTCATGATGAATGTTTGAAATTTTTTTGAAAGGAAAACTTAAAATAATTGTGTTAGAGAAATGGTTGCATGGAATGATATCTAATGAGGATTGAGAATTACTTTTTAGGTGAAAAAATGAGCTGAAATGCATCTCGCACAACATTGAAGGTTGTTCTGAGCTCTAGATTTGATCAGTCACCTCTTTGTTCCTTTTTGGCCTCATTATCAGCCAAAAAAGAATCCATCTTGTTATATTTTTATACTATTTCAATTTTCATTTTGATTTGATGCTACAGAATGTAACATGATAAGTGATCATTTGCCTATTCTAGCATAAACTGCACATTTTCCCTATTTGGTTTTGATCGTTAGGGGTGCAAAGGCAGGCATAATTTGTTCCAAGTTTCAATGTCACAAACGTTATATCATAAGAGAGGTGGAGTAGATTTGTTCTTAAATTTATGATAATTTTGTTATCCCTTTTTTAAATTACTTGGATATGCCTAATTCTTGCGCTAATGCAGACTGAAACCTTAGAATCTGTCATAAAAAAAAAAGTGATTATTATTTAAGTTTTAAGGAGAAAGATAGCTAGTCATAAGTTATTTGATGGATGAAACAGAATAGTAGCTCACTGTTTGTGCTAACAGAGCATGATGAAACAGTAGCCTTGTGTAGTTCAGGTAAAGAAAAAAGTGAATAAACAAGACTGGAAGTGGAAGAAGCTAAATATGATGAGGTAAAGAGAATAAATATGAAAAACAAGAAAGGAACTAACTCTGGTTTGGATAATATAAGCTCGGTTATAGAAGTAGTGACTTAGTTAAAAGGATAATTTCTTTGGAACCAAAGGTCTATCTGCTTCCCTTGATGGCAATCCTGAGGGCCAAGCTAAAATCTTGAGAAATTTTGAAATGAAAATGTGATTCAACTTATTGGGTGCATCATAAAGATTGATAATTAAATTGAAAAAATTCCAGATCCATCATTCTTGATGAACAAATAAACAAAGCATATGCTTTAAGTTTACTTTGATTCCTTTTGTTGATGTCAGATTTCCCAGTACTTATTTACTCGTCGGATGCTGCAATGATGAAATGACTCATATGTACAAAGGAAAAACTGTCATGAGTGAAGATGAACGCTATGAATCACTCCGGCACTGCAAGTATGAATCTCTCTCTCTCTCTCTCTCTCTCTCTCTCTCTCTCTCTACCTCTTATTGAAAATCTTTCGCAAGTAATGTCAATTAGGGATTCAAGATGTAGGATTATCATTCATAATAACTGCAAGTGTGATGTCCTCATCAATGTTCAAGCCGACTATTGATCATTCTCCTCCACCATCATATCAATCAATGGTTTGTCTCCTTTGCTTCTATAATCAGTAAAAGTTCCTAAAGAATTTGAAAAAGGCTCGTTATAACTTGGTGAGATGCTTAAGGCAAGGGTATTTGTTGTAAATTGTGGATGAAACGAAATCCTTTCCTGATAATGATAGTTTAGGCGTGTCACGTATCTCCCTGTCTAATACCGTTGATTGAACAAAATAAATAATTAATTAAATAAATACCTAAGCCACCCACACAGAGCCTCTCCCTCACACTGTCGGTCTCACCTCTCTCTCTCTCTATCTCACTCTCACTCTCGCCTCCTCCTGCAATGTCCTCGCAGCCGCCTTTGCTGACTCTCAGCTTCTCACTCTGTCCCAAACGCAGTCACAGCTGGTGTTGTTGAGGAACCCGCCGTCATCACCGCCCACAACCTCCATTGACACCAATGGCTCGACCCAGCCATGAGTTGTTTCTCCTCTTTCCCTCTCTTTCTCTATATCTTTCTCTCTCTTCCTCTCCCATTTTTACTCTATTTCTCTCTCCCTCTCTTAATATCATTCTCTCTCTTTATTTCTCTTTTGTCTCTCTTCCTCTCTCTTTCATACCAACTCTTTTTTTCTCTCCCCTTGTCTCCCTATCTAGTCTCTATTTTTTTCTTTCTTCTTGAGGAAAATCAAAACAAAAACATAAAAGAATAAAAAAGAAATAAAAAAATCATATCCATTTGTCTCACTAATCCAATCAACTTCGTAACTCGCATACATAGGTATAAAAAAATGCAATTTAAAAAACATCAATGATATATACATGCATTCAACATATAGATTAAAACATCAAAATTTTTTAAAAATTTGTGAGCTGACATTATCAATCATAAAAGATACAACAATCTAGAATAATCTCTTCAACCCTTTGGATTGATCGATCCTCGTTGAATGGATACAAGCCTTTATATGCTCCAATGTATTCCTTATAACCCAACTCAGGCATTACAATTGACATAATACACTCGTACAAATCACTCAAAATACTTGGGAACTCTTGATCTTTTCAACTTTCAAACAAAAGCTTCTTAGTTTGATGATAGGCCAGAGGAGTTCCATACTGGCCTTCTTCAATTCTTGATATCTACAAGTACCCATTATGACACCAAAAGTCTCCCTTCAAGTATAGTTGTGCAATATCATCATCTTATAATAAATTGTTCTAACCGTTGAGAAGCTCATATTTTGTTAATAAATTTTATGTCTTAAGGAATTTGATCTTCATATTCTTTTTCAACAGTATAATATCTATACAATTCAACTAGCATGGCAGAAAGACCGTCTCAACTCGACCCATCCTAACACTTGGCTTCAACAATATTTTTGGCGCAAGGCTAAAAGTTGAACCAACAAGACCCAACCTCATAGTATTTCTTGGTTAGGTTTGAGTTAGAATATATTAATTTGACCCCACTGAATCCAATTTGGGAAAAATTAGGTATGTTTTTTGTCGAGCAAGCATACGTCCATCATAGGTTTTCCATCCTTTAGGGATTTTTTTTTCTTTTTCAGCATAATAATTCGGCCATGAAATACATCATAATTTATTAAATCTTTCAAAAAAAATTTAATTGCAAATTTGGTAGCACAATATACTGAAAAAGATCACATATGGTGAGGAACTCAGCAAGTGCTTCCTATGATGAGATGACTAGTTTTTCTTTCAATATCATATTTTATTATCTTTCTAAATTATATTTATCTTATGAAATTGGATAATATATTATCAATAATAATGCTAAATTAACAACGTATAGATTAAACAGGAAAGATTCATTGTTCTTGATCCAACTCAACTATTTGTTATTCATTTTTATTAAATCTTGCATATGTTACATTTCAATTAAGCTATTAACTAAGAGAAATAATCTTCTTCCCCTGACATAGGTGGGTTGATGAAGTTATTCCAAATGCACCTTGGGTCATTACACAGGAGTTCATCGACAAACATAAAATAGATTATGTGGTGCATGACTCCCTACCGTAAGTCTGACTGGCATTTTCTTACCGTATTTTTCAAAGTTCATACTAATTTATCAAGCTAACTAAATCAAGACATTTGTAATGTAATTCTCATATAAAACATTTTTAGCACTAAAATTTGCTCGCATATATGTGACTCATCAGTAAAGTGAGTTGATGCCTTGCAGATATGCTGATGCAAGTGGATCTGGCAATGATGTTTATGAGTTTGTGAGTTCAATAGCCATCTTTAGTTAAAAATAAATGCTTAATTCTAACTTTTATTCTTTATTCCTTCTTATCACTTACATCTGTACAATAATGGGTTGTGAATAGGTTAAGTCTATTGGAAAATTTAAGGAAACAAAGCGCACTGATGGTGTATCAACATCAGAAATTATAATGAGAATTCTCAAAGACTATAATGAATATGTCATGCGCAACTTATCTCGTGGATATTCTAGGCAAGACCTTGGTGTTAGCTATGTGAAGGTATGTTTTTTCTCATATTTGCTTTGTCACTTTTTAAACTTCCATGGTGATACTCTTTTACTGGTTCTTTTCTGTCACAAAAACTTCAACAGGAGAAGCAATTGAGAGTAAACATGGGTATAACTAAACTAAAGGAGAAAGTGAAGGAGCATCAGGAGAATGTCGGCAAGAAGGTTTGTATTTTAGAATAATTGTACATTCTTTCCTTCTTTTGATGCCCTTTTGTATTTAGTTATATTATTTAACAGAATAAAATCTAAGTGCCTTGCTCTCTGTGACAAAATTAGAAAGGGTATAATGGTATATTTTTCATATATTGTAGGCGGTGTGATTTAAGCAACACATACCAAACTACTAAACTCTGGTCATTTTGGATAGGGGCATCCAAGTTGGTTATTATTGATTAATTTTTAGTTATGTTTGTCTTATACATTCACTAAGACATAATTGCGGGTCATGTCTTATAGAAATAAGCCCTTTTGATGTTCTGCTAAGATGATTCAATTTTCATTCAGAGCTTCACATATTGCATTTCCAACATAAATGTATGGCTTCCACATGGTTGAAATCAAATCAGCAAGCGATACAGGACAACCATGGAAGATCTGGAAGAGGGAATAAAGAACATGGAAAAGAGGAGCAAGTCTCATGTTTGTCTTTAATAAGAAGATCATCTCTTCTAAAATATTTTTAGATCATGTATGTGAACAATGATAAAAAACTTTAAGTAGATAATAGATGAAGGAATCTTCGCATCTATAATAAAAACCATAAAAAAATTTTTACATATCTCAAAATAAATCTATTTATAGGTGATACATCATAAAAAATTATCTTGACCGGGCACGAATCTCGAGGGAAAATCAAGTTGGAAACTTCCGAAATTAAAATTGGGACCATTTGATCTCCAATTTCAGCAAACTTATAGTCGAACTGAACGTCTCGGAAATACGAACCCAACGACACCAAATTTGACTCAATCTGAGCCCAAATGGGTCCGAATTGAGGACCTAAAGTGCAATTGGAAAGTTCAAACCACAATTTGGATTACCAAACGGTTTTCAAACATAACATGCTTATAGTAGAATCGAGCAGCTCGATGAGACGAATCCAACGAACCCAAGATCGCAGAATTTCGACATCATTAAGACCTTCAAACGTCGAACGAACGGTCCACAATAAAGGGATTCAACATCAGCCGTCCATCCAAACCACTACCCATTTTCCCTTGATCCTCCTCCTATTGACGGGTCATGCCACTCTAGGAAATCTATAAATAGACCCCTCCTCCCTCTTGAAAGAGGGACCTAAACCCAAGGGTTTCAAGAGAGAAATCGGAGATTGTTGTTGCCTCCTTGCTCCTCCTCGACCACCGCCTGCGTTTTGCCGGACTATCGCCTAACGTTGTTGCTTTGTTGGACCACCACTTGAGACCCTGAGCTCCGTAGGACCACCACTCAAGGTCATGAGCTCCGTCGGACCACCACTTGAGGCCCTCACTTCTGCCGGACCATCACTTGAGGCCCTCACCTCCGCCGAACCACCACTTGAGGCCCTGAACTCTGCCGGACCACCACTTGAGGTCATGAGCTCTGCCGGACCACCACCTGAGGCCCGGACTTGCACTGAACCACCATCTGAGGCCCTGACTTCTGCCTGATCACCACCTGAGGCCCGAAATTCCGTCGGACCACCACCTGATGCCTAGAGTTCCATTAGAGCACTACTTGACGCCTGGAGTTCTGCCAGACCACCACCTAAGGCCCGAACTTCTGCCGGACCACCTCCTTAGGCCCGGAGTTCCGCCGGACTACCACCTGACGCTTAGAGTTCTATTAGACCTCCACTTGACGCCTGGAGTATGCCCGGAATTCTGTCGGACCATCACTTGACACCCGGAGTTCTGCCGGACCACCATCTGACATCGTACTTCCTCCGGACTACTGTCCGACGCTGAAGTTCTGCCAAACCAACGTCAGACTACCAATTGGCGCCCGAATTTTTAAGTAGCACCAGACTTCTGCCAGTCCACCAAGTGACGTTGTACTTTCATCTCCGTTTGTCAGTAGATTTCAACAAAACGGTTGACATGTGTAATCTAATCGCCCTCAGGGACGAGTCAGCCTATTGTAATCTACCTAAGCACTAGTGGAATCATTTCAGACTGGGCTAGGTCCCGTGGTTTTTTCACTTTCCAGGGTTTTGCACGTAAAAATATATTGTGTTCTCTGTGTATAAGATAGATATTCATACAACGCTAAGACGCAGTATTTTAACTCTATCACCGCGTATATTCTAGTCCGCAACAATAGGTGCATTAAAAAAAAAAAAACTACCGATAAATTTCTAAGAGCTTGCTAACAATAAATTATATAAGTGAAAGTCAACCTAATAGATTAATGAAATGACCATCATATTTAAAGGGAAAAAAAAACTGAAATATTCATGACAAAATAAATTCAGAATTTATGCCTGCAATTTGATTTCAAGTGATATTTTACATAAAATCAGAAGAAAGTTAGCGGTAGTGTTGTAGTTTTGGGAAAATTGTAAAAAAAAAAAAAAAAAAAATTTAAAAAAAAAAAAAAAAAAAAGGAACCCTAATGCAATTTGATTTCAAGTGATATTTTACATAAAATGATTCATAATTATAGCATTGATATCAATTTTATGCAAGATGATCATGACGGGTCTAGAAATTATGAAAAAGATGAAGATATTTCAATTATCAGAATACTAGAATACATGAAAAACAAGGATTTATACATCCACAATAAGAATTCTAATAATGTCATAAAGATTATTTTACATATGTGAAAAATAATAAATTGCTAACAAATTAATGGGACAAATTGACGAATAACAATGAGTTTCAAAAAGAAAATAACTAAAATATTCATGAAAAAATAAATTCCAAATTTATGTTTATATCACAGCAGAAATAATACTTGAATTGAATGTCTAAAAATCATATTATCAAATATTATGTTAATTTATGAACCATGTTGTTGATACATCTTAACATATTGTAGTACCATTTTTGTTTGTTTTGATATAGTTGATGGTATTGAATTATAAATAAATCAATGTGGTTGTTGACCCCTACACAAAAAAATGCGCGAAAGCAGGGAAACTAGACGATTTAAGTGACGTGCATCGGCGCGGAGTGTCACTTGAAGGGTCAAACGATCTATGATTGTCAAACGGACTACGCCGTTCAAATTAGAACATCGAATTCACCTACAAGAGACCACCTCTCAGACAAATCAGGTAAAAATGGTCAAAATCAACAGCCAATGCCAGAAACTGACGCGTGATGCCGCTTAAATGATGTTTGATTGCAAAACGGACTTTGTCGTTGTGTTTGGAACGTCAGAAATACCCAAAATTGACTGTAATTTTGCCCAAAGAAATTCACATGCGAAAAATCAACAAGCATCTCGAGGTAAAAATGCTCTAACTTTGAGAAAAAATCACGTGAATCGAGATGAAATTGCTATTTTGAGTTCAATTATTTAATACTAATATTATTATTATTATTTAAAATAGTCGCGATAAATACAAATATCTACGGGCAGCTTCTGGAGAATCGTTAGTGCACAACGATCTACCTGCATAAAATAATAAATGACCCATAACACAATACTACTATTGAATTGAGAGAAAAAACATAAAATTTGAAGTAAAAACTACGGAGCACTTGTGGGAGGCTACTAACTTGACATACAACTCATTTGCAAGCAGAGATTCACCCCTGCAGGCCAAATACCGAAGAAAATTACAACATGTGGAAGATGAAAATACATGAACTGTCTCATTCGTGCACGACAACCGAAGTCCAATGCACTGCTAAATACGCCACCAAATCCGCAATATTCGTATAAGTAGACAAAAGGCGTCTACATGCTCCTAAGTAGAGCATCTTGCATCTTCCATATGATCATCATTTGCATAATTCGGCATGTTTGAATATTGCAAAAAAAGAAAAAAAAAACACCCTCTCTCATGCATTGAAACATACAGTAATGCATTACGAACATGCTTACACATTTTATAAATATTTTGGAAGTTATATAGAGCATATGCACATTGCAACATGCAAAATGTCACGCAAATATATCATGTACTATGATCAAGCATTAAGTCGTTGCACTGCACACCAACATATCATGCAAGAACGATTAAGCAACATGCAAATGTAAATATCATGCAGGCACGATTAAGCAACATGCAAATATAAAATGCATCATACATGAATACATGCAAATATGTTATGTACATCTATTACAATACATTCATACAACTACTATACAAACATATCTTGTAAAATGCATTCAAAATCATATACTCACATGGGTCTCGGCAAGTGTGTTGTATATGCACACGTGGCATCTAAGGATGTTGTGTGGATCAAGAAATGAACCTAAGTTCGAGCCTGATCATTCTATGTGAATAGATAGGAGTCGACACTGTTAGAACTATCACACAAATTTACGGTCGTAACATCAGCCGGTATATTTGTTTTATATATTCATATTAACATTCAAGGTCAATAACAAGAAAAGTTCATTAACAAAGGCATAAAGCCGACAATGAATCTGATCCTCTGTTAGCAAGTAGACATAGTTGACAAGATCCAACCCATAAAATAAAAGAGCCCATAAATACCTTAATGATGGCCTTGTTGATAGAAAGTCTCAACCGAAGGAGATCACAAACATTTAAAATACCTCTCAAATTCTCATGAAAATTTAAAACTCAATAGTCATCAAAACTTAAATATTTAAAATTGAAAATAAAAACGCTCAAAATACTTAAAGCTAAATCCATCTATCCTCCATAATAATCAACAGTTTGTCGGGATAGATAAATTTGAAATCACTTCAGCTCATAAAGAGCAAATGTCTAGTCGAAAATATTACTAGGATTTTGATGCGTTCCGCCTCCGATCAGCAGAGGGAGGGCCGGCGACCACCTGGCGAGCAGAAGCGGCGGGGGAGGGAGCCGCGCCGGTCGGCCAGCCGAAGGGAAGCACGGGGCGAGGCAGAGTGGGCTAGGCGGTTCGGCCTTGAGCTGAACCGGTCCAATTTTGGACCGGTTTGGCTCGGGTCTGCCCTGAGCTGGGCGGTTCATCTTGGGCGGCCCACTAGTGAGTTTGGTTTGGTCTTTTGCTTGCTATAAGTAGGGATTAAGGGGGGATTTCTAAGGTTATGCAAAAATTGGGTTTTCTCTTAGCCACCTTATTTTTTTTCTCTAAGTTTTCTACGGTTTGTAGTGGAAGACCTTGTCCTTCTCGAAGTGGACAAATTGTATCTTGTTTTCTCTTGGATTTTAAATGCAAAGGTTCATGCTCTTCATCCCATCTCTCTTGTGTTTATTTCTCTTTGATTTGGTGGAGAAATCATATCTTTGAAGGAGCATTAGGGCAAACCCAAACTTGGGAACCCTAGGGCGTATCAGATTTATTCTCAAATTTTCTCTTTTCAGTAAATATGTAACACGTCCTCTAACTAGTGGTTTTGCCGCCAAATGGCACCACAGGTAAATGGCTACGACTGGGACCCTCTGACCGGGTGGTTTTGCTGCCAAATTACTCCATTAAATTACATTCATGGTCAGAGCCCGTATGTTCCCCAACGGCATCAAATTCTCGAGTAATGAATCAATAGAATATGATCGATAGGGCATAAAGCCCTCTGTTAGCCAAGGTGGACTCAAATTTATCCCTTTAGATAAATATTCACCCCCTATCTACAAGATACCCTTGGACAAAGCAACCCAAAGTTGCCGACAAGGATCCTTCTATCAGGTTGGGTCACTACCTCCTGTGACTAGGTAGACTATGGACCATGATGGCTCAGGACAACAGAACCATGAGATCTTGATCGGGTCTATCATCATCCCCCATCATTTGCTTTAAGTGTGTGGTTATATAAATTTCAATTTTCAAATACTAAATCATGTTGCTACTATACATCGGATACTATGTATATACTTGACGACTAGCCTTAATCGAAAGTTCTCTCTCATTATCTGGAGGGGTAATTAACTATAGGAGGGTGCGCCTATAGGAAATATGAACTTAGATCATAAAGTCCCCGCAAAATGAGGGCAAAATCTCTAGGTAATTTCTTATTCAAAACTCAATCTACCTCTAAAAATTTGCCTCGGAATTCAAGTGTGAAACTCTCCTCAACGACCCGAAAGAAAGAAAGGGGCCGCAGAGAGGCCGTGGCGCAAATTTTTGGAGCCCACAATGGCTTCCTTGTCTCTATAAGTTTTAAGCATCATTTGAAAGTAAAGAAAGAAAAGTTTCTTTGCATGTTTCATACCAGAATTGTAAGTCTAAAGTAAATTTGAAATCATTGCAGCTCTATTTGGATTTTATAAATTTGAAGAAGAAAATCGAGGAAGGAACTTTAAAACACAGAATCATTTGCTGGAGCTTCATAACCAAGCCACAAATTCTATAACATTCCTATCAATGCTCTAATATTTAATCAATCCAAATGCAACCTATTGATTACAGATAGAATGAAATTCAAAATATTGGAAATTGATTTTTCTTACTCATTTTAGAAGTCCCTGCACTTGAGCTAAGCCTAATATAAGACGTATCGATTTGCTTCGCATGTTATGTTCATCTTTTTCTTCTTTCAAGTCTCAGATTTCCATTTCCTGTCACAATTTCAAGGTGTAGATTTCAAGCTCTACATGACTTAAATTCATGTAGAAATCAACAGTACATTATGCTTGTTGTGATTAATAAATATAATTATTAAACATGCAGTTATCTGGGATGCAGCACAACGAGTGGCTGGAGAATGCAGACCGTTGGGTTGCAGGCTTCCTGGAGAAGTTTGAGGAAGGCTGTCACATAATGGCAAGTCTTTTTAATAATCTTTTAGTATTTATTGGATCAGCGAGCAGCTGAGCACTAGCAGAAACTAAGGTTATGTTTGGAATGGTTTTTTTACTGCTTTTTAAAGCGGTTTTTTTTTTATAAAAATTTTAATTTTTGCAATAAAAAGCCGTTCTAAGAAGCAATAAAAAAGGGTCCCAAACAAAGCTTAAGGCATGCATCTGCTTTTCTTTGACAAGTTAGGTTTCGTTTGGGTCGGCTTTCTTACTATTTTTAAAAATAGTTTTTTAGTATAAGATATAAAATTTTTATATTAAAAAGCTGATTTAAGAAGCAGTAAAAAAGTCATCCCAAATAGAACCTTAATATCTGAAGTATCTGCTGATTGAATACAGGAGACGGCCATCCGAGACAGAATCCATGAAGGGCTTAAGATGCAGCCAATCAAAAGCAATTCATACCTCACTGAAGAACTGAAAGAGGAAATGAACGAGGAAGAATTGTATTCTGATGCATGCTGAAACTTCCATAGGTAGTATGACTCTTGTTTTGTTGTCACAATTGGAACAGATTGTGTAACAAGAGAGGGAGAGAGAGAGAGGTGAATCATTTATAGGGATGTTTAGATGTTTTTTTGCTGTTTTTGAAACAACTTTTTAGTTAAAAATTTAAAGTAAAAAATAGTCTCAAACGAAATCATAATTGTATGAAAATATCATGACTTTTTTTTCATATTTCCAATTTCTTTTTTCTTTTTTTTTTTCAAATACAAGAGATTGACGGACACCAGCCAAGAAATAATAAATATTAAGTTAACAATGCTTAGACAAGGAACTTGTATAAACCATTAAGATAATGAAAAATATATTTTCATATGGTTGCATGCTAGTGAAAAACATATTTTCCAAAAATTTTAAGCTGTGTTTATAAAGTTGAAAATTCACATTATTTTTTAATTATATCCAACCAAATGACAAATATTTTCAATTTTAGTTTTTTTTTTAGGACAACTTTCTTACTATTTTTTAAAATAACTTAACTCTTACAAAAAAATTCTAATTCAAGATATTTTTGTACTAAAAATTTGCTTTAGAAACTGTCCCAAACAAAATCTTAATCAGTTCAAATAAATTCCTAGTTTCTTAAATAATTAATCAACAACTAATATTCAAATCATAATATGATAAATAAATTTAAATTTGGCAAAAAAATCCGATGTTGATAAAAAAATAATGCAAATCTATAAAGAAATGAGATAATTCATTTTAAAAAAAATAATAAATGATGTCATCCCTCTTTGGGGCCATTTTGATCTAAGAAAATATTTTGAGAGGACATTGGCCCAAAGAAAACCAAGATAGATGCATTTGTACAACCATGTTCAGCATGAGATAAAAAGATAAATAAATAAACAAACGCTATATTACCAAAAAATAAAAAAGATTTCATTTACAGGATGATCAAAAGGCCTAGTTGGATCCACACAAGAAGCTTGTTAATATGAAAAAAAATATTACATGCGGCATCCGGATTCGTCCGGAGACCAATAAAAATGTGCCACGTCGCCCCAAAAATATACCGCACTCGATACCGAGCGCTCGAGTGTAGAATAAGCCCAACTAGTAGCAGTGTAGAATAAGCCCAATGGGACAACTTTAGATCCATATATTATGGAGAAAATGTGATATTAATAAAATAAATTTAATTTACTTCAACCCTTTTCTTTTGAATCAAACATAAAATTCATTTTACATCAGTGTATTAACAAACCAAACAACCCTCAGTCTGCTTGAAACCACCACCACTTCAAAGAAGGAGAAAACACATTTCAACTACAAACTGCTACTATTCTTTCTCTTTAATCAAACTATTGACAAGCAAATCAATTTCACCTGGAACAAAAGGCCCTCACATAACCCTATCATTCACTTCTACAAAATGGGATGCTAATTTGAACTGGACCAAAAAGAAAACAAGTATTTGCAAACAGATATACCTCTTTAACTTTTTACATCAGTTGCAAAAGGCAGTATCAGTAGTTCAGAAGTTTCAGCACTGTAAGATGTTCTTGATGCCCGTGCGCTGCTCTTCTGTCAAACTGGAAGGGAAAATGACGTCGAACTTGATCCTTAGATTGCCTTTGTTCCCCGGTTCGCGAGCGATGGGCATCCCTTCTTTGGCGATCAGAAGCTCGTAGCCAGGGCTAACGATGTTTGCGAGCTGAACGGTGAGTTCGCGGTCGTCGAGGGTTTGAAGCTTGACTGTGGTGCCTCCGAGGGCTTCTCCTAGTGATATCTTCAGGTGAACAACAAGATCATTGCCGGCCCTCATGTATAGAGCATGAGGTTTCTCATCAATTTCAAATACTATATCTGCTGGAATCATGTTTGCTTCCTCATTTCCCATTCTTGGGAATGTGATCTTAGTTCCCTTCTTCCATCCGGGCTTCACGTCAATTACGAGGACCTCTGATTGAGGCACATATCGTCTGGGTGAAAAAATAAAAGTAATAATGGAAAGCACATCAGCAAGTATAAAGGACTATTGAGGAATCATAGCAAAGCAATGTCCGTTGTATGAAGCTACCATGTTCCATATAAGGAAGCTAACAAGTGATTGAACATAGAATTAAGGGTGTGCATTAATTGGTTAAAATCAAACCGGACAAAATATATTATGATTCTATTATTGGATTGGGAGTATTAGGTTATTTGAATTTTGGTTAATGGATTGATTTTGAAGCATTATATGACCGAATAGATCGAACGATATTGCAGTTAAATTTGGTTTAGTTCCACATATGATCTGCTCTGTTAGTTTGTACTTAAGATTTAATTCGGTTCATTTGATTTAAAAAATTTGTCAACCATTCATCCAAATCGATTGAATGCACACCCCTAGCTAAAATAAATACATAATAGCTAAAAAATTTTGTTTTAATATTAAAATAGATTAGGGATACTTTTATCTTAGAATCATTTAACAGTTTTAAGTAAAATTGTGTTTTTAGAAAAAAACGGTGTGCTTAGCTTTTTCATAGCACCATTTTTTAGCTTTTATATTTCCAAATAGGAGTTGATTTAACATTAACCAAACACCAACAAATTGATTTTGCTATTCTAAAACTCATAATCAGTTAACAAAAATCAAAACAAAGCCAAAAAGCTCTGTATTACACTCTTATTATAAAAAATCTAATATGCTTCACTATATATCAAGGATGATGTTTACACTAATGTAGTAATTTACTTCAGATAAGCTTGATCAGAGATAACACTTGCCATAAAAAAGCCCGGCTAGGGGGTGTTAAACACCCTGAAGGAGCATAGTACTCACCCTAAGAGCACTTGCCTCGCGAGGAATGGCTTGACCACTTAAGTGGTCGTTTGCCCCAGAGAAATACAGGAGAAGATTACTTATATCAGCCCATGCATAGCCTTACTCACCAAGTGTATTTGTTAGAGGCATCGAACAAAAGTACTCGCCAAGGGCACTTGCTAGAAGCATTAGCAAAGGTACTAACCGAAACCACTCACCAAGGGCACTGGCTAGAGGTATTCACCAAAGTCATTCGCCAAAAATACTCGTCGAAGGCATCCACCAAAGGTACTTATTAGAGGCAATTGTCAGATGCACTCGATGGAAATGTTCTAAAGCCACATCAGACATGGAAAGATACATGTATCTATTTCAGTAAGTCCATGTATCTATAATAGTCAATAATGTACTATATTTTTAAGGTGTAGCCTAACATGTAGACTTGCCAACCTTATAAATAAAGTGTTGGGAGGTATTTTAGGACTTTTTGGACTAGATATTACACTACACTTAACCACATACAAATTTCAGAGCTCTTCTTCATATGAGCCCACACCTCTATCTTTCTCTGTCCATCACGTTAGTTAGTCTTGACAACAAGGCGAAAGTGTCTTCCGTGAACAAATTTAAATCCAACTCATTCTTAGGTGCGGTGAATGTGGATTGATGCTATTAAAAAGAAGCCAAGCACTACAAGAGACGAAATGCGAGAATATAGAGATCAATCAATATGGCATAAAGCACGCACTTGGTTTGTAGCAGCCAAGGGCATTTGGCAGAGTTACTATACTCGCCAATAACCACATCAACAATGAGAAGTATAACATAGTGGCTAAACCCTCCGCCTCTTTTTTCCCTAGGTAAGTAGCCGCCAAACGTGACTGTCCGCCATCACGGAGCAGCTACAGGAGTCAAACCAGGGTACACCAACCAGTGAGGAGGCCACACTTTCGACATACTCATCCTTATCACTAAAACGCGCCACAACCAACAAGACTATTGAGGATTATGGGTCCACCCGTTGTGCAAGCAAAGGAGGTAGTACTTGTGACTAGCCAACATTGAAAGGAGAAACCATAGCTGACATATCAGTGCTAGGGAGATCACCCCTTCGAATAAAAATGGTTGAGTTGGTGAAGGCCATATGAAACAAGTATTTCTTCAAACAGAACAAAGATTTTTTTCAAGCACCTCGTGCCCATGAGGGTGGTTGTACATACAAGAGATACATCTAGGTATTGTTCCTTCCATAAATATCATAGGCAAGATGCTAAAGAATGCAGACACCTTAGAAGCCTTGTGGAAGAGCTTATCAAGATAGAAAAGCTGAAAGAGTTATCTTAACTAACTTGGGAAGTCAAATAAGGAAAACACCCGTGGAGAGCCAAAGAAATGAGCTAACCCCAGCCCGAGCCATTCACATAGTTTGGGTGGTAACTGCCATCCTCAGAGGAGACGGATCTAGTGCGTCACAACTAGCGAGTCTCAAGCGACATTAGTCACACAAGGTCAACTCGGCTACCATGGCTAAGGCCCGCATAGTTGAAGTCATCCTAGTCATCATCACTAAAGAAGATAGAACAACAAGTAGCAATCCTTCAACAATGTTATGGTGGTCACGGTCTTAATCACCAACCACCTGATCAACAATAACTTGATCGATATGGAATTTAGCGGTGTCAAAATAAGTTTTTGGTTGGATTCAAGTCCAACCCAAAACTGACCAGCATTCAACTAACCTGATTCGGACCCAACCCGATTAAACAAACGGTCAAAAACCTAGACCCAGTGTGATGCCCCAAGAATCTAACTTGGAAGAATTATTCTTTTAATCCTTTAAACCATCAACTATCATAGCTATCTATAGTCATCAATCAGTAAATAACAGTACAACATATTCTATAATTTAGAACATCAATTTACATATTTATATTTATTCCCAAAAGTCATTTACAATACTCCGGATCTACACATTAATCACATATATCCATCCTGTCATGAGTACAAAAGAATAGCTAAAATAAAAAGGAACAGAACCTGAAGAACCCTGATAAATCTCACACTCCTGCTCCCTTGCCCTGACCTGAAATCAATAACCACATATAATGATCTTAAAAAGCCCAGCAGGTCACCAACCTACAACTGAAATCAAAGCACATAAGCAATATGCATGTCAATCAGTCAAATCATAACAATCACTTACACATGATCATTGAGTCAATGCAAAAACAGAAATTAGTGCAGAAACAGTAATATCCACAATCGACAGTAGAAAATTCTGTAAACAATATAAAAGTCCATAAAACATAAGCCTGTACGTATGCCAGATCTCTATAGTAATCGTTGTATCTATAACCTCAGTCAAATCAATAAAGAAATCGTCGGATCAATCATATCAATCGGTATAAAGAGAAATCATCGGGTCAATAATGTCAGTCAGTATAAAGATCGTATAAAGCGCCGAATCAACACTATCGTTCGTGACTGTTGAACTCAAATCGATGCAGTAGAATCGTATCAAAACGTACACTTGCAATTCAGTTATTCTATATCACTTACTCGGTGTACATGCATAAGATCAGTACAATAAATCAGTAGTATCAAATAATACCAGTGTCTGTATCAGTAACAATCCGATGACAGAAACAGTAATGCAATAACAGTGAAATCGTGCAGTAATATAAATTCGTACAGTAACGATAAATCTATACAATAATAAGGACAATGCTTCAAAACATGCTTTTTAGTATAGTAGTCCTACAAAACAAGTAGAAGTGCTGACTATTATGGTATTTTTCAGTCTTGTATCAGTATCAGTATCATTATCATTATCCGTTGGCTCAGTAAATAGAGTCGTCACTCTTTGCCCGTCGGCACAATAATACTGATTGGGAGTTAAAGGATTAAAAGAATAATTCTTCCAAGTTAGATTCTTGAGGCATCAAAATAGATCTCGAGTAATGTAAATGACTTTTGTACATTGATGTTTTTAAATTATAGAATATGTTGTACTGTTATTTATTGATGGATGACATAGATAGCTCTGGTATGTTGATTGTTTAAAATGATTAAGTGAATAATTCTTCCAAGTTAGATCCTTGGGGCATCACACCCAGACTAGACACGCCCCTAACCCGCTAACCCAGTTGAGGGTGATCGAGTGACCGAGCACACTGCATGAATGGGCGAGCTGAATAGGTCAGCGTAAACATAGACGATCGAGCAGTCGAGCAGGTGAGATGAGCAAGCGAACATGATGACAATCGGGCAAGCATGTGAGCGCGAACGACGGATGAGTTTCAAGTTGATTTCAGGTTGTTTTCTGGTTTTGGGGTTGATCTAAACCGGACCTAAAATTGCAATCAGGTTAAAATGTGAAACTTGAACCTGACCCACTTTCTAAACGGGTTGACCTGAACGCAAAATTTTTTGGTCGGATTTTCGAATCGTGTGAAATATTGACACCACTAGTGGTATTTAAATAATTGGTTTGAATATTGTCAACTCTGTTCACCTGCTAATAAAGGATCATGTTCGATGATTGATATTATGAGTTATCATATAAATGTTAAGAATCAAGAGTATATAATTTTATGATGAGTTTCATTTAAAAAACCTTTAAAGGCCTAATGTGAACTTTAAAATTAAATATCTAGGTAGATTTGTGAGTAGACGTTCACTTATTAATTCAAGTCATGTCGACTCCAATCATTTCAATGAGGATCAAACTTGAAATTTAACCCGTGTAATATTCTCACGACATATTGATTTAGGAGTACATGCAATGGTCAGAGCACAAACGGGTGATTAGTTTAAAAGTAGAACTTTAAATTAACGAACTTTTAACCCCACACAGCATTTTCAGATATTGGTGTTTTCAAGTTTAATAAGTTTGTCAAAGCATATGTGGGAAATTGAAATTTCTTTCTAAATTAACATGCACACTTTTTGATGTGTTCATATTTAAGTTTAAGGAATTACATTTTAATGCATAAGGGGGGATTTTAAAATATTAAAAAATTAAACAGTCGCACAAAAGTTCATTATTCGAATGAGCGCTATGTTTCACATTTGAAGTTTAAAAATAACACCTTTTATCTGCTTGTACGAGTGCTACAGATCCGTTGGTGTTTGAAGGCGAGTTAGGTTTTAGTTAGAGTATATAGGTGG